TTTTTTTTTTTTGTTCGTTTTTCAAGCAACAAGTCTCTGAGCACACCAGACTTTTTTCTGATGGTCATAAAGAACACTTTAATGGTTTCTCAACGGCACTCTATTGACTTAGAATAATACCGCGCGACTTGCAAAACTTCCTCATCGAGTAGGGTGCATTTATTTAAAGTTATCTATTCCGAGAAGTGACAATTTTGAACTTTTTTTGAACTTTGAATTTAAATTAAATGTCTAATCCATACGTTTGATTTCCCGATAATGAAAATGACGGAATTATCTTAAATGTCAGTGGCAGTTAGGGAAATTCAGAGAAAACAAGGCTATGAGACGCTCGTATTTTCTTTGCTCCAAGCATGTGAAGTCGTTGCCCAAAGCAATCAGCGTCCGTCCCGGTTAATTCGAGGCACAGTTACAAACCGAGTCTTTGTCATTTTACACCGCAATTTTCCATCATTTTCATACTAGTTTTGAGCTTCAAGTAAACAAAATCAAAGGAAAGAGATAGATAACAGATTGAAGCTGTTTTGTGTATTATTCTTCAAATAATACGTTTTTGGAGCACGCAGAAATCAACATCTTTGGTCGGAAACGTTTTTTTCTGTTTGCTGGTAGTTCTCGTCTCCATGAAAAAGAGACATTGTTTTCTTTTTTTTTTTTTTTTTGGCATGCTTTGAATAAGCAGAACAACATTACAAACAATTGGGAAATTTCACCTGGTATTTTCAAGTGTACCTGGTCATCACGCACTTAGACCGATCGCGTATGGGCACAAAACGGAAAAATGACATGCCGTTTAATACTGACTGTTGCCATTACCGTCGCTTCGTCGGCATGTGACCCTTGCTTGGTACCCTGGTTCCAGTAGTACGTTCTAAATAATCTAGAAAAAAGTTATTTCAGATCATTGAAAAGATAGAGTCACCAGTATCGTTTCCGTTTGATTATACTTCTTGGGTGGCAAACACTCGAACACCTTTTCGCGGAGTTTGCAAATTTTATTTATATAGTTTTGCCACGACACGATTCAAAATGATTTGAAAACAATTAATCAGTAGGAAACAATCACGAAGTTTTTAAAATGAAGTGCGGACCGCGCGATCACAAAGATCAAAGCAACTGAAAGCTTTGTTTCTAGCCGTGATAAAACTAAAGCCGGCAGTGCCATTTGTGTTCACTAACCCTTTTTTTAATACATTTGGAATATCGATATGTATGTATACCACTTCCGTGGAATTAATTCCACCTCACTAAAGCAAAAAAAATTCTTGTGGTATTTCTTTTTTTCCATTGTCCTCGTGCCCTTTTGTTTCTTAATGAAGTGGCCATGTATCATTTAAAATTATAAATCTAGATTACCTATGGAGTATTTCACCTTAAAATTGTGTCCATCAATTAACTGATCGATTTTATTTTGGACTGGCTGTTGTGTACTCATGGACTACATTGATTTGCAATTCGTATTTTCCATCATTTTTATTCTTATTATTATAATGTCATTTTATTAATTTTCTCTTTTACTGAATTATAGATTTTTTTGTTTCTTCGCACCAGATGGAGGCTATTTTACAAAGCGCGATTCTGATGGTCACAAACATCTTAGCGGCGATAATTCCTTCGCGACTTTTCGGTATTCGCTAGCAATGCCCGACCGTTTCAAGGAAAAACTTTGCTTCTTTTTCTGTAACGGCGGCAAATCAATCAAACTTCTTGAATTAGCGCTAGAATACATTAGGGGAATATCACGCTGAATTTTCCATTCTTAGTTAGGTTCTGCTCGGTCAGTTAGCGTTTTACCTCGTCTTCATAAGGGCAGAATTGTATTCGAGTCCTTTTCGTTTGATAAGAGTCGTTTTTGCAGTCAATAAGCTTGTTCAGGTGACATGATGCCGTCCTGCTGTATGTTATAATTAGATTTTAAATGTTAACTTTCCAAGGAAAAATAAAAGGTCAAAACGGATGCTAAAGCTCAACAAATAAAAACCGACCAGATGCTAGAAGATATTTTGTCAGTACTATTTCGTTGTTTGAAATGAAATTGCAAGGAACAGTGAGGTAGTGTAATTCCAATTTTTAGCAATTTATGTACCTTAAAATGTTCTGCAAAAAATATCTCACTAGTTTATAACAATAATCAGTCATATACTTTTCACTGGAGGTACATCCATCTTGTAACCATCTCCCGATTTCGGTTGCATGTTGTTACCTTTGCTATTTGTCTGCGTTTAAAACTAGACTGTGAATGGCGAAAGATAAAGAGAGGGAATATTCCTTTGGTGTAACCTTAAAAAAAAAGAATCATGGCTGTAAGCATATGAATTGAGGAAACTCGATGAGAAATGGTTGAAGAAACTCACCGAAACGGATAAGGGCTCGTGGTTGAAGCGACGCGCACACGGTCAGAAACCATTAACGAGTTCTGCTGCGGCGTGCTCAAGCCGCTTTTGAGTTGTAAAAAAATATAAAAGATTTAATCCAAATTGCCAGCCAGCAGATTATTTAACTACCGTCTGGTACGGGCAACTATTGCCTGCAAAATATGTTTTTACTTTCGCGAAAGTCGACCGTATCCTTAAAAATGTTTTTCAAATGTAACAACTTTTGTTCACCTGGCTGCGGAGATGCTGCATTTTTTTTTTTTTTTAATTTCTCCGGCAGCTCCTAAAGGAAGGTAGGAAAAGTCGTGAGTAGATTTTAAAGTGCATGTAGCAAACAAAATGTTTTAGTACTGGTCAAACTCGAAATTTAATAAACTTTTTTTGTTGTTCCAAATTTTATTTTCGACATAACAATCAAATTCTTTGCTCATTTTCTCTTCCACAGTCATCCTTCATTTGATGATGGAATTTCCAGGAACAGGTGAGGCAATTTAATTTCAATTTAATATTTATGTACCTTAAAATACACTGAAAAAATGGATGTGACTGAATTATCATAACGATAAGTCGTAGATTTCTTGCTGAATTACATCGGCTTACGATTAAAAACGTGAGTTGGAAAGCAAAACAAAAAAGTCAAAGACTAACGGTGCCATTACACTCACTCAGGTATTTTGTGGTCTATTGCCTCTCCCGTCTAAAAACTTCTCGGTTAAAATAAAATGCATCGGTACCACGCTTACCTTTGTCTACTTCGCAGCTGTTGCTTGATCTCGTCACACAACGCCCAATATTCTACGTTGGAGAGCGAGCGCGTCGCGTGACCAGACAAAATAACTGTTGAGAAAGAGACTACCTTTACTGCCGTTCCTCTGACAGAGAGAGAATCAACATTATTCGTCTACAGTCAGCTGCCTCAAAATAGAATTCCACGTAATTTTACTACGAGAAGCAAAATGAAATTCTGTCGTATCTCCAACAGAGCCTAACCAAGGATATAATACGATCTCGAATAAGTGAAGATACACTGAATAAGAGAAAATAATTATAGTATTTCAAAAAGGGCTCCTTGATTGGTTCTTGTCTATCTGCCATTTTCCACCTGAATTAACACGCGATGGAATAAGTCCAAGGTAGCTAAAAGCAACTTAAATTCGTAGAAAAAGCCAAAACGCGGGAGAATTGCGTTGAAAATTTACTATCAGTAGCATTTAGTTCCGTGGAATTCTTTTTAGTGGTGTTGGATAATGCCGTTCGCATACGTTATAAAATGCAGGTTGTTTATAACGAAATGACACTTGATGGAGTGAAGTCTAATAAGGCCAAATTAAATTTGATTGGTGAAATATAATTCAAAGGCATGAAAAGTGCCACATGGTCATGTATTGCAACTATGTAGTATGTTTTGATTGGACTTTGAACGTTGAGGAAAACGTATTTTTATCTGGCGGAACTAAACTGTAAGTGACAGTGACAGAGAATGTAAATATTCACCTATCGCTATGTAAGCACTTGAGCCACTACGGCGTTAATTGCGTCTTTTGCTGTAGTTCGAAAAGTAGGTTTGACATTTGTAATGTATACATCTCATTTTTCGAACTTTTCGAGCTTTAAGTTAATTTTTTTCACATAATTTAGCCTGTTTTACCTCTAACCCTCAGAGGTTGGTGCCCAGCATTAGGATAGGGAATACGTTCCCATCTTTTCCACTGGGTCTTCTGGGTTTCTTGTCACGCGTCGGCACACAAAATGTTTTTTTTTTCGCAAGAAGTAACTCAGTTGTAACTAGTTGTCTATCGTACTCTGTACCTTTGTCGGACGGCATGAAGCACTCACGCTCCTAGTTCGATCTGCACACCCCCTCCTTGTGTATGAGTCGTGAATTAAGATAGGAGGTAAGTTGTTAAGCGTGTGCGTTGTGAGAAAAAGAGCGGAAAAGACATATTTAAACTTGAAATGATACAACAAGTTAAATGCGACCCTTTCATATCCCGATAACTCTGGACTCTAATCGACGAGGCTCTTGCAAAAGCCACATACCACTACTCTTATCAGATGAGTTCAAAATTTCTGGTTAATGTTATTCTTTGTGCACAGCCCCCTGATGCCATAATATCATTTACGAGAAAACAATACCTAAACGCTGGGATATTGTTACAGGTTATCTGAATGTTATGATGTGATTAGTGCAACATAATACCCTAATGCGGTAATGTGATTAGTAGTCTTTTCTTCTCACAGTAGCGTTAACAATGGGGATGTTCGAAGTATTTGTAATGTATTCCAATAGCATCCGTTCGTTCAGCACACTTCGGGTAAAGTACTTCGTAACAAAGGTGCCTTATGGTGTTATAACACATTCAGTAAAACCTGTGTTGAAAGGAAATCAAAAAGGTCCTCGCTATCGTCCACTTATCATAAAATATCCGTTTCATTCAAGTTTTGTAAATTCAGTAATGGTGACAAGCTTTAAATTGTGAACCTTTAAACCGTTTGCGTTTCCTTTCATTCGCTACCCAATATTTTAAAAAATGTACAAACCTGTGTCAGGAGTAAAGCCGTAAACAGTAAAAAAGAGCTCAGTTAACATGTTGTTCTAATCGAAGATTAACATTCTCATCCATCTTAAGCATCGCAGTGGCCGTCGCCGTCGCCGTCGCCGTCGCCGTCGCCGTCGCCGTCGCCGTCGCCGTCGCCGTCGCCATCGCCGTCGCCGTCGCCGTCGCCGTCGCCGTCGCCGTCGCAGTCGCCGTCGCCGTCGCCGTCGCCGTGGCCGTGGCCGTCAACGTCGCCGTTACCGTCGCAGCAAGGTATGATACTATATACTATACACTATATCCTATGTACTCAGGAGTAGCACCTAACTGTCATGCCCTAGCTCGCAGTGCATGCAAAATGGCCCATACTTATGAGAGTTAGAAGTAACCCATCAACCCAAGTATCATAGTAGTGTTAACAACGGGGACGTTCGAGGTATTTGTAATGTATTCCAATAGTGTCCATTCCTTTAGCACACTTCGGGTTAAGTATTTCGTAACAGTGGCGACTTATGGTGTTATAACACATTTATTAAAACCGGTGTTGAAAGGAAGTAAAAATGGCCCTCGTTAGTGCCCACTTATTATAAAATATCCGTTTCATTCAAGTTTTGTAAATTGAGTAACGGTGACAAGCTTGAAATTACGATCCTTTGCGCCCATTGTGTTTCCTGTCAGTTGCTACCCAATATTTTGAAAAATATACCAACCTGTGCGAGGAGGAAAGCCGTAAATAGTAAAAAAGAGCTCGGTTGACATGTCATTCTAATGGAAGATTAACATTCTCATCAATCTTAAGCATTGCCATCGCCATCGCCATCGCCATCGCCATCGCCATCGCCATCGCCATCGCCATCGCTGTCACCGTTACCGTCGCCGTTACCGTCGCTGACGCCATCGCCGTCGCAGCAAGGTATGATACTATATGCTTTACACTATATCCTATGTATTCAGGTTTAGTACCTAACTGTTATGGCCTAGCGCACAGCGCGTGCAGCATTGCCCATACTTATGAAAGGTAGAAGTAACCCATAAACCCAAGTATCAAAGTAGCGTTAACAACGGGGACGTTCGAGGTATTTGTAATGTATTTCAATAGTGTCCGTTCGTTTAGCACAGTTCAGGTTAAGTACTTCGTAACAATGGCGAATTATGGTGTTATTACACATTTAGTAAAACTTGCGCTGAAAAGAAAACAGAAAGGTCCTCGCTAGCGTCCACTTATTATAAAATATCCGTTTCATTCAAAATTTTTGTAAATTGAGTAACGGTGACAAGCTTGAAATTACGAGTCTTTACGCCCTTTGCGTTTCCCGTCACTCGCTACCCAATATTTTGAAAAATATAAAAAAATCTGTGCCAGGAGGAAAACCGTATACAGTAAAAAGGAGCTTGGTTGACAAGTCGTTCTAATCAAAGATTAACATTCTCATCCATCTTAAGCATCGCCATCGCCATCGCCGTTGCCGTCGCAGCAAGGTATGATACTATATACTATACACTATATCCTATGTACTCAGGTGTAGCACCTAACTGTCATGGCCTAGCTCGCAGCGCGTGCAGCATGGCCCACACTTATGAAAGTTAGAAGTAACCCATCAACCTAAGTATCATAGTAGCGTTAACAACCGGGACGTTCAATGTATTTGTAATGTATTCCGATAGTGTCTATTTTTTTAGCACACTTCTTAAAAAGTAAATAAGAGCTCGATTGACATGTCGTTCTAATCGAAGATGAACATTCTCACCCATCTTAAGCAGCAACATCGCCACCGCTCTCGCCATCGCCGTCGCCGTCGCCGGTGCCATTGCCTTCGCCAGGGCCGTCGCCGTCGCCGTCGCTGTCGCCATCGCTGTCGCCATCACCGTCGCCGTCACAGCAAGGTATGATACTATATACTATACACTATATCCTATGTACTCAGGTGTAGCACCTGTCATGCCCTAGCTCGCAGCGCGTGCAGCATAGCCCATACTTATGAGAGTTAGAAGTAACCCATCAACCCAAGTATCATAGTAGCGTTAACAATGGGGACGTTCAATGCATTTGTAATGTATTCCAATAGTGTTCATTTGTTTAGCACACCTCGGGTTAAGTATTTCGTAACAGTGGCAACTTCTGGTGTTATAACACATTTATTAGAAAACTGCGTTGAAAGGAAATCAGAAGGTCCTCGTTAGCGTTCACTTATAACAAAATATCCGTTTCATTCAAGTTTTGTAAATTGAGTAACAGTGACAAGCTTGAAATTACGAACCTTTACGCCTTTTGTGTTTCCTGTCACTCGCTACCCAATATTTTGAAAAATATACAAACCTGTGCCAGGAGGAAAGCTGTAAACAGTAAAAAAGAGCTCGGTTAACATGTCGTTTTAATCGAAGATTAACATTCTCATCCATCTTAAGCATCACCATCACCATCGCCATCGCCGCCGCCATCGCCGTCGCCATCACAGCAAGGTATGATACTTTATACTATACACTATATCCTATGTACTCAGGAGTAGCACCTAACTGTCATGCCCTAGCTCGCAGCGCGTGCAAAATGGCCCATACTTATGAGAGTTAGAAGTAACCCATCAACCCAAGTATCATAGTAGCGTTAACAACGGGCACGTTCGAGGTATTTGTAATGTATTCCAATAGTGTCCATTCCTTTAGCACACTTCGGGTTAAGTATTTCGTAACAGTGGCGACTTATGGTGTTATAACACATTTAGTAAAACCGGTGTTGAAAGGAAGTAAAAATGGTCCTCGCTAGTGCTCACTTATTGTAAAATATCCGTTTTATTCAAGTTTTGTAATTGAGTAACGGTGACAAGCTTGAAATTACGATCCTTTGCGCCCTTTGTGTTTCCTGTCAGTTGTTACCCAATATTTTGAGAAATATACAAACTTGTGCCAGGAGGAAAGCCATAAATAGTAAAAAAGAGCTCGGTTGACATGTCCTTCTAATCCAAGATTAACATTCTCATCCACCTTAAGCATTGCCATTGCCATCGCCATCGCCATCGCCATCGCCATCGCCATCGCCATCGCCATCGCCATCGCCATCGCCATCGCCATCGCCATCGCCATCGCCATCGCCATCGCCATCGCCGTCGCCGTCGCCGTCGCCGTCGCCGTCGCCGTCGCGGCAAGGTATGATACTGTATACTATACACTATATCCTATGTACTCAGGGGTAGCACCTAACTCTCTATACTATAAGTGTATAGTTTTGTAAATTGAGTAACGGTGACAAGCTTGAAATAACGAACCTTTACGCCCTTTGCGTTTCCTGTCACTCGCTACCCAATATTTTGAGAAATATACAAACTTGTGCCAGGAGGAAAGCCATAAATAGTAAAAAAGAGCTCGGTTGACATGTCCTTCTAATCCAAGATAAACATTCTCATCCATCTCAAGCATCGCCATCGCCATCGCCATCGCCATCGCCATCGCCATCGCCATCGCCATCGCCATCGCCATCGCCATCGCCATCGCCATCGCCATCGCCATCGCCGTCGCCGTCGCCGTCGCCGTCACAGCAAGGTATGATATTGTATACTATACACTATACCCTATGTACTCAGGTGTAGCACCTAACTGTCACGGCTTAGCTCGCAGCGCGTGCAGGATTTCCCATACTTATGAAAGCTAGATGTAGCCAATCAGGCCAGGTATTATCGTAGCGTTAACAACGGGGACGTTCGAGGTAATTCTAATGTATTCCAATAGTGTCCGTTCGTTTAGCATAGTTCAAGTTAAGTATTTCGTAACAGTGGCGACTTATGGTGTTATAACACATTTAAAACCTGCGTTGAAAGGAAATCAAAAAGGTCCTCGCTAGCGTCCACTTATTATAAAATATCCGTTTCATTCAAGTTTTGTAAATTGAGTAACGGTCAAGCTTGAAATTGCGAATCTTTATGCCCTTGCGTTTCCTATCATTCGCTCCCCAATATTTTGAAAAATTTACAAACCTGTGCCAGGAGGAAAGCCGTAAACAGTAAAAAAGAGCTAGGTTGACATGTCGTTCTAATCGAAGATTAACATTCTCATCCATCTTAAGCATCGCCATCGCCATCGCCATCGCCATCGCCATCGCCATCGCCATCGCCATCGCCATCGCCATCGCCATCGCCATCGCCATCGCCATCGCCATCGCCGTCGCCATCGCCATCGCCATCGCCATCGCCATCGCCATCGCCATCGCCATCGCCATCGCCATCGCCATCGCCATCGCCATCGCCATCGCCATCGCCATCGCCATCGCCATCGCCATCGCCGTCGCCGTCGCCATCGCCGTCGCCGTCGCCGTCGCCGTCGCCGTCGCCGTCGCCGTCGCCGTCGCCGTCGCCGTCGCCGTCGCCGTCGCCGTCGCCGTCGCCGTCGCCGTCGCCGTCGCAGCAAGGTATGATACTATATACTATATGCTATACACTATATCCTATGTACTCAGGTGTAGCACCTAACTGTCATGGCATAGCTCGCAGTGCGTTCAGCATGGCCCATACTTATGAAAGTTAGAAGTAACCCATCAACCCAAGAAAATTTGGTTTGGTGTTCTACCGTATGACCTACCGTGCAAGGTGCTACTTTAACCATGCGCGGACAACTGCATCTAACTATTACATAAGTAAAAGACAAATGGAGGAGGTAATGCACATACGCGGTTGTGAGCCTAACTTGGAGACCCCAATCGAGTGCGCTAAGAAGCTCAGATCCAAAATGAAGAAGTACGCATTTACCAAAGTTCGTGCAGCGTACGGCGGGCACCCGGTTACTGTATACACGAGGGCTTCACGAGGGCTAGCACAGTTGAAGCAGCGCAAACAAAGGAATTTGGCGTTTGAGCTGGAAGTCATTCTGATTAGTTCGTAGTTGAAAGATTCATTGATTCTCGGTAATTACACTGCAAGAGGAGCGCTAAAGACGACATACAAAGACTGATGTTAAACGGCGAATATCTAACGAAGATCAACGTGAGAAGGAAAGACAAAGAGCTCTAGAAAAAAAATGACTGAGAGAGGTCAACAACAACAAAAAAGAGCGAATTACAGAGAAGCCGACAAAGGAGAGCCAGGAAGTAAGTTGATTTTTATCTGAGTATTTTCCTACGCTAAGTCCCAGAAAAATTCAACACTTCTTTTATCAATGGTCGTTTGATAATAGCTTCAGTTTATAATTAATTGATATTTAAAACTGATTACATACTGTCTTTCATAAGTGTACACATTTGATTTGCCCCTCACACTTCTTGGCATCAGTAGTGTAGAGCGCTTTTTTTTTTTTCAAGACCGCGTGAGGGATGGCACATCGACCGAAAAATGACTACCCTCATAGTTAAGTCAGATTTGCTTCTTTATTCTAGAAAATTTTCCAAAACTGAAACGAGCGTCGGCAGCCGTAAACTGGCGGAAAGCAGTGCCCCGAGTAGATGCAAATGAGCTTTGCTCGTGAAAAGGGAAAAAGAAAGCAAGCTCATATCAATTTGATAAATTTTTATTTGAAGGATTGACGAATGATTTAAGTTTAAAACAGGACCATTCTATTTAATTTAGAGCTCGCGGAACGCTTTCGGATATAACTATAAATATTTAAAAATACAAATATCGCACTTCCTAGCAATTTTCCAATTAACATTTTCCCAACGCGGTATACCTCGCTATCGGCTCAGATTAAGCTCGTGATAAGTGGAAATAGAATGGTTTTCGAGGATATAAAAATTAGTTCGGGGCTTTTCATTACCGTACAGAAAAACCAAGCTAAATTTTTCACAAATCGCAACATCGTCATTTACATCACGTCATTCTTTAACTAGGTACCTCATTTTTAAATCCAGAATTCCAGGCAAATTTTAGTAGTAAGTGTTGTGTTAGCTTACACGAATTATGTACGTGCAAGAGGATTCTGGGATAGAATTAAAGGTGGCGTTCTATGCAGAACACGAACAACACAACAGGGTGGCAGCGGTGGGATTTTTCCAATAAGATTTAAACTGAAGAAATCAGGAAAAACGGAAATATGGGAGACCCTGGACCTGGCGAAGCTGGAAATCAAGCTGTACCACATCCTGTAGTTGACGAGCCGAACGAAGATGACGTTCACCCAGACAGCCTGCACAACAACAAGCTGACATGTTTGCACAGCGTACAGTCCAAGAGATCGCTGTGGCGAATTATCAAGTTCCACCACCGGAAAAATTCAGTTTTAAACCCAACGAGTGGCTCCGCTGGATTAGACGTTTCGAACGAATGCTAAAGGCCACTGAAAGCTTTCTGAACAACTGCAATTGGATCCCAAGCTGGCTTTAGAGAAGGCAGTTACTAAGGCCAGGCAGTCTGAGACAGTGAAGAAACAGCAAACTTTCATATAGGGAAACAAATCTGAACAAACACTAGCTAATGTAGACCGCTTATCTAAAGGAAAGGGAAAAGATGTTAAAACTAAACCAAACGATGCAAAGAAGCCCCATAAGCCTAGAAACGGGACAGAGAAGACTCCGGAAGCGCAATGTTTAAGGTGACTGGATCCATCACACCCAAAGGGACAACGTCCAGCCAGAGAATTTAAATGTATCAAGCGCTACAAAGTAGGACATTGGGCAAAGCTTGCAAATCTCGATCTGACAAGAAAGTGAATGAAGACGAAGCATTCTTCCTGGGTGAACTAATTGAGGTAGCTATTGTTCAAGGACAAGCACAAAGTTCATGGAAAGCTGAAGTCGTGATGAATGGACAACCAACAGAATTTAAATTTGATACTTGTGAAGATGTTACAGCAGTTCCGCAAAGCCTGTATTACAGCTTAAAACCAACTCATGTACTCAACAAGGCATCCAAGTTACTTATGGGTTCATGTAAACAGAAACTAAGGTTCCCAGGAACTTTCATTGTGGAGCTGCAAGTGAAGGATATGCTTACTAACAAACGAGTGTATGAGATAGAAGATTTAGAGCGACCTCTGCTAGGCAGGGAGCCAACTGAATATCTCAAACTCATAAGCAGACTTGACAGCTTAAGCAGTGATGACTACAAGAGTAAAGTGGCAGACAAGTACCCTAAGTTATTCTAGGGACTGGGTGTCCTGATGGACTGTTACCATATCACACTCAAAGAAGGCGCTAAACTCTTTCAAGTTACAGTTCCGAGAAAAGTCCTCCTACCATTTTACCATAAGACAAAAGAAGAATCGGATAGAATGTTGAAATCAGGTGTCATATCCAAAGTTGACGAGCCCACAAGCTGGTGTGCTCCCATGATGGTGGTTGCCCCAAACAAGCTGAACGAGTACGTCAAAAGAGAGAACCACCCACTTCCAGCAGTAGACACGGCTCTGGAAAGATTGGCAGGTTCCAAAGTCTTCTCAAAACTCGATGCAAACTCAGGATTTTGGCAGATAAAGCTTGCATGGGAATCGAGACCATTGACCACATTCATCCCTCCATGGGGCCGATTCTCCTTCGATGTTCTACCCTTTGGTAGCAGTTCTGGTTATGAGAAATTCCAGAGTTATATGAATCAGATTCTCCAGGCATTGAAAGGTGTATAGTGCCACATAGATGACGTTTTATTTCACGGAAAAAAATCAAGAAAAACACGACGAAAGACTAGAAGCCGTACTTAAGCCTCTGGTCGAAGCCGGCCTAACACTCAACCTTGACAAGTGCAAGCTCCTTGTGCACGTCATTAGCTCCCGTGGAATTGAGGCGGATCCTGACAAGCTGCAAGCAATCCCAGATCTCCTGCTACCCCAGAACTTGCAAGAAGTGAGAACATTTCTGGGCATGGTAAACCAATTAAGCAAGTTTTCTGAGCATCTTGCTGACAAGGCAAAGAGCATCAGGGAACTCATTTGTCGAGGGAATCAGTGAATATGGGGAACTGAGCAACAGAAAGCATTTGAGCAGATCAAAGCTGACCCCAAACGGGCTCCAATACTGGCACATGATCCTAACAAGGAGACCAAGATAGCAGCTGATGCCTTATTGGTGGAGCAGAGGTCAATTGTCTTTCGTGCGGAACACTCCACTCAAAGCATCCAGGATCCTTATCCCATCCTCCATACGACTTGAGAACTTGGATAAGATCCATGAGGGATATCAGGGAATCACCAAATGCCATGAGCGGGCCAAAAGCCCGGCTAGGACTTAGTAGAGAAATCCAGGATCTGCTTCAACAATGTAGGGTTTGTGCTTTGCATAAGGAAAACAAACCCAAACTGCTTATAGCAACACCCCTACCAGACCGCCCCTGGCAAGTCGTAGCCACGGACCTCTTCGAGCTGAAAGGCATCGACTACCTGATTATAATAGACTACTTCTCAAGGTACATAGAAGTAGCAGCCATGAAGAAGACGACAAAGTCAAGTGAGGTCATAAGAGCACTTAAGTCGATATTTGACGGACATGGCATCCCCGAACAAGAGCGATCAGACAATGGTCAATATATTTCACCCATATTCCGAGATTTCTCCAATCAGACGGAGAGGATGAAAGTGGATTTAGAACCGTGAAGAATCTGCTTTCGAAAGAAAGAGACCCAGCTAAAGGATTACTAGCCTACAGATCAACGCCATTAGCATTCAATTCTCTCCTGCCAAGTTCCTGATGCAAAGGCAGATAAGGAACAGTGTTGCGGTGTTCCATACCCAGCTTCAGCCGCAGTGGACTGATCTGGAAGAACCTACCTGAAAAATAGAGTATGTGCAAGCTGAAGCAGCAAACAGTGTTCAACAGCAGGCACAAGGCAAAGCGTTTACCTCCGATTGGACCAGGTACGAAAGTCTTTGTGAAGGACCTTCAGCATTCAGGAAAAGTCATCGAAGCAGCAGTAACACCCCAGTCATATAAGGTTGAGACACCAGCCAGCACGATCAGAAGAAACCGTGTTCACCTAACCTCACTGCCAGATCAGCTGGAAAATGAACAACTAAAGCCGGAGGAGAAACAAGTTCCAGCAGAGAGCAAGGCTGCAACACCTATTCGGAAGGACGTTCCTGTTTCTAAGAGACTTTCGAGTACCCCCCGTAACACGTATTCTTGCTACTAGGCCTGAGCGAGTTATAAGACCATTGCTAAAAGTCAGAGAAAATCTAGGTTTAGCATTTTAAGACACTGTGTTAAGAGATCTGATGTAGACTGTGTCTATGATTTCTCAGACTTTGTGCTCTTTAACGAAAAAAGGGAGAGATGTTGTGTTAGCTTACATGTCCATACAGGGGGATTCTGGGATAGGGTACAAGATGACGTTCTTTGCAGAACACGTGTAGTACCGTGTGCGATCAGGGAAATCAATAGTAAGCTAAACTTGCATGGCTAACGACGGCAGACTGGTTTTTATACCTTTTCTCGTTTTAAATTCTCATTTATTTCCCATGGCGAAATTTTCTACAATAACACATTCCGTAAAGTAGCAGCAAGCATCTGTTTTTCTTTGCATATTCGAACACCTTCATACTACTAGGTCAACAGTTCTTCGCCAAACATTGAAGAAGGGCAGCAATCTGAAATTAGTGTAGATGTAACACACTCAATGGTTCGTCACGAAAGGCTGAACGTGTTGCAATCATGCTCACATCTTGCAATTTTACGGCCGCCAATATCCGTAAATAACTTACAGGTTTTTAAGTTTTCGACCGCAAATTAGGGGTATTAAAAAGTTTAACTTTCTCATTTGAAAGAAAAAAAGATCACAGAATGCAGAGGGCAAACTTGAATTGTGCCAGCTAATTTCCTCCACTGCCTGACATATTTTCGATCAAATAAACTCCAATCAGTTATATAGGGTTTGCCTGCTATATAAAAAATTACCAGAGTGGACTTTTTCTCAGACGGTCAGCTCGTAAAATATTGCTTCTGAAATTTTATTGCCTCATTTGATCATAAGAGTAACATTTTATGTTTTCACATGCAACAGGATGGTGCAGCGGAGGATGGCCGATACTACTATGACGTGATGTTTCGCCGACCATTACTCCCATCGATCCATCGACGAACACGTTTGCTGTCGTTTCTTTCAATTTTGGCTCAATTTCCAAGACCAAAGTTAACAGTGGCGCTCAATAAAATATGATTTCAACAGTTGCTGACATCATACACGTCAGGAATGAGATGTAATGATAAAACAGCTCAAATCGGCTCCTACAGCTTACATTCTTTTCAAGTATTGAGGATTTGGTGAAAACCATTTGTTAAAAGCTCTTCATGTCAACAATGTAACAAAACAATTGTAAACAGGGTTGAACCGATATCAACAGAGAAAGTAGCATTTTTGCCAAGTTTTTTTTTTCTATCATTATATAGATGAGACGTCTGGCAAAAGAAAACTTGACCTTGTGGCGGTCATTTCCGGCGGCGCAGAAGTAACTAGAGGACTCCACAAAAATATCACATTAAATGCCTCATTGTCATATGACCCGGAAGTTGCACATGGCAACCGATCAGGAATGAAATTCACCTGGCATTATGGCAAAGTCACAAGAAATCATTCCAGTAAACAAGGGGAAGCGAAGGCGGAGAAAGATTTCTTCATGGCAGTAAACGAGTCAGCCATTCATTATCACAGAAGTGCATCTGGCGAACTAGTTTCCTTAAACACTGAAACTTTGTCTGTTCATCAGACCCACATAGTTAAATTGGTAGTGACCAAGCACAGTCGTATTTCCACCGTTTATCAAGTTATCCATTTGATAGAAGGAGACCCACCAGAAATACATCAAAGGTTAGGGATCTACTTTGTTTGTTTCTGTCGTTATTTAGTTTTTTGGTTTGTTTTTACTGTTGGTTTTGTTGCCGTTTTTGATACCTTTATTTGTTCTTGACCTTGCTGTTGCTCTTTATTTTCGCTACTGACACTTCTGTCGTCCAATTATACCTGTTTTGCTTCTGGTTTTGTTAATTTTCGTTGTTTCTACTGCCGTCATTTTTTATACTTTGTTGTTGCTATTAATGATAATGTTATTGTTGCCATTGTCGTTTTGGTTACTACTGTTGTTATAGCTACTTTAATAGCAGTTGTTCATGTTAATGTTAATTAAATTGCGGCCACTGCTGCAGCTGTTCTTCTTAATTACATGATCACATCAGACAGAGCAAGTTCAAAACCCCTTTTTCACCGAGTGTTCTTCTAATCTTTTTGCTTCATTTTAGATGTTTTTTTAACTGTCAACCTAAAGTGAGTCCCTTGGTCAAACTTAGTATCAAATCACAATGTCGCGGATTACAGTGCTCTAAAATATCATCCTATAAGTGGAGGCTCTACCAGCATTTCAAGCGAAACACCTCCTTTATCTGGCAAAGGAAACATAATTTACGACTCGTCACAAGTACACCGCTGAATTCAAGTGACATTGTTATCAAAGGAGGTTCCCTTACTGGTGAAAATATGTACCGCTTGGCACTATTCATAACAATTACGGACGGTTTATGGGGAGTGAGTGCTTACGATTTTTCTACCGCAAGACCTCCTACAGGTGGTAACTGCTCGATCACTCCGCCAAGCGGCATCTCACTGAAGACCGATTTCATTCTGAGCTGTAGTAACTGGGAAAGTGACAACACCCCTCTATCCTACCAGTTTCAATACAGGCTAGAGAATGGTCTGTACAATGTATTATATCGTGGCGTTAACAAAAACATAAGTACCTCTTGGATACCGCCTGGGAACAGTACAGATAATTTTACTGTCAAAGTTATCGCTACAGTGACTGACAATTTTGGAATTTCTGCCTCCCCAGTCTCTTTGACAGTTCAGGTAAGTCGCTAACCATTGATTTAGCGTCTAGCATGAAAGGATGTGAAAATGTTAATTTCTTTTGGTCCCTATCAGTAATAGAGTAGTTATAGTAATAGACGCCTTCTTTTGACTTTTGCAGATCAGTCCATATCAGAATGTAAGCACTGATGTTATCACAAACCTTCTACTGGCAAACGACAGTTTATTTCAGAAGTTCATCGAGATCGGAAACCTAAGAAAAGCGACGCTATTAGCAAACTCTGTCCTGCTCTCAGTTTCACAAGAAACGTCAATGAATTTCCAGGAGAGATACAAGGTACTGCAAACATAACTTGTTATTTAAAAAGTGAAATACTAGTTCATTATGATCGTATCCGAAAAGCAAAGAGTTTACTAAGAGCCAAACATGCCAAAGAAAACGAAAAGAATGAATAATTTGTATTTGAAAAAAAATATACTATCATTAAAAAAATTAACTTTCGAAAAACAGTCGAATATAATGCATTAAATATAAGAACATACCTTTTAGAAAAAAATGTAGGCTTGGGTGTTAAATACCTGATATTTCTGCATTCCAAGAGTCGTGGCTTCTACGTTAGATGTTGACTTCCCATTATTCTCGCGGGTTGATTGTGTGAGCAAACAATTTCGTCTACCGCTGAGACGAGTGAAGAACTTACCACGTCTTGAAAATGAGGTTTGAAAATTTACTTCATGGGCGGAAATCACCCTGCATTCCTTTATTTCAGCTTGGACGTTTCCGGTGTTTTCATGCATTTAGATCAATCATGCGCTTGCAAATGTATCATTTTGATGGGTTTTAACTAACAATTTAATCGGAAAACCTAATACGTTGAGTCTAAGTATGCCTTTAGATGTATCATCTTTGGAACGAGCCTAATATGAGGGATATAGTCTGTTTGCCTATTTCTCTACTGGCTTAAATAACATTAAGCTTTATCGTTGTTAAAGGTTGTGAACTACATCCTTGAAAACATTTCGCCCTTGGAAGCGAAAACTGTCTTCGACCTCCTTCAAAAATCTTCGGTTATCGGTTCTGCTCTTCCGGTTCTGGAGGAAGTGCCCCATCAGTCTCTGGTAAGTGAATTACGTAGTACTGGTTGGGGCTGGAATAGCCTTGGTTGTTATGTCAAGTTTTCATACCATGACACTATTTAGCCAGAAAGGCTACAGAAACAACAGAAATAACCACAACAGCAAAGACTAAGAAAACGGAAACAAACAAGCATGAAAAACAAGCAACTGTTGTGTTATCAAATGAAGCAGTCTATAATCTTGTAATCTCTTTAAATAATTCGCCACAAATTAGCTCTACAAAGGTAATGGAAAGAAATCTGAAAGTAAGCATTTTTAGCTTCATTTCCGTTTATTTGCACTCCACAGAATTTCTCCTTATCAGCTATCAGTTCAATGACGTCACTCCTATGGTCTATCGCCCAGAAAAGAGACGTAGCAGACATATCGCTGACAAAGCAATCAGCAGAAAACTTGGCTTCATGTCTAAATACCGTGTTGAAGGCAGCAGCAGTGACTGCATCAGAAGACTCCAAGTCAAGTTTTCAGCAACAGGTACTTTAATGTACATTTAGGTGATGTCCAAAAGCCTACGAGTTAAATAGACCTTTTAAAACGTAATTATACATGCAAGCATAATCATTAGACTTTATTCATTAGCAAATGGTCCATCGCAGATTGCTTTAAACTTAACTGTTACTCCCTTATTCATTCAGATTTTGAACCTTTTATGGTTTGTTTGTATGTATGTTTGTTTTAAGCTTTCGAAAATCCATAATTTGCTTATATTATTTGCTAATTTATGCAATTTCTACAGGGTAAACTATTAGTGAAGATTTCAATGAAGGCCCTCCAGAAAGTTGCAGACTCACTGTTGGTCTTGACAGTACCTGATGAAAAAACTATACCATTCACTGCAGGACAGCTATCCATGACACTCGGAAGATATACTCTCCAAAGACTTTCAGGACTGGAAGTAAAAGCAGGAAAAGGCCGGTTTATCTTACCGTCTAAGAGCCAGTTGTTACTCTCTGGGGTAAACAAAACAAGTTTTGTAGATGTTCAGGTAATTATTTCTGCCCTTCAGGCAAATTTCAATCCAAGTTTTTTTTTAGCAGATACCAACACCAGTCAAGTTAAAATCGCACGTTAGACACCTTAAAGGTTGCTTATTACCTCTAGCAGTCATATTTCTTGTTTTGCTTTTGACGTGTTCAACTCTGGCACTTGGGCAGCAAAAGGGAATCGAATCATGTGACCGAAGTGACCAGATGAATGTTATTTATTTTTTGTTGTTTTCCAAGTATATTTCCAGTTTTATTTTGAACCCAACTTACGGAGTACCCTATTTACGTGTTCAATTATAGCAGTCCACAAAAACAAACAAGCAAAATTCTTAATTATTTCTCTTTTAGATGCTCTCATTTTCTTTCAACCCTTACACTTGGGACGGCACCAAGGAACGAGTTGACTCTGATGTTGTAAGCCTGCACTTGAAAAATAATGACAGCGAGCCTATCAAAGTATCAAATCTCACGGAAGACATTGTTATCGTTACGCCTTTAAAACTTCAGAAAAACTCTGCTTCGGAAAACTCATGGTATTTCACAAAGAACGATGATCTACGTTTCCACGAGATAAACGTCAAGTATGAAAACACCCTGCTGATGCTGGAAATCAAACCTCAAGATCCAACCGTACATCTGTTTGTCTATATGCGTTTTGGTCAGCGACCGACAACTCAAAACTACGACTTCAATGCTACTATCTCTCATGACGAAAAATGTGTTTGGATGATAAGCACACATGGCAAAAGTAACGGACAAACGGTCTGCTACTTGAATCCACATGCGCCGATACAAGTGCTGGCTGAGCATCCTGGGAAATACTTAATCGGCTTAAAAAATTATAATGCCACAGTGAACTTATCTCACACAAGGGAGAAAAGATCTTGTATTGGTGAAAGACGAAGGAAGCGCTCCTGTGTCGAAGTCAAAGATCCACAACCCGCCCCACCCCAGAGTGAAAATGTCCCTGTGATGCCTGTTTATGATTCTACAACAGACCAGAACTACACTCTGAAGGTGACCTTGGGTAGCTGTGTTTACTGGTCAGAAACAAGTGACATGTGGATATCATCTGGTTGCCGAGTAAGTGAAAATTAAATGTAGATTTTCAGCGTAATCTTTTTTATCTATCTCAAGATAATTTGAGCTTTCCTGAGTAATGTTTGTAAAAGTGCTGTGGTATTGCCATAATCTTCACTCATTAAGCTTATCATTGAATTCAGGCTAATGTTTGATTACAGAACATTTTCAGACAAAATTGGAATCGATTTGATAGCCAGCCAGGGTATAAAAGCGCCTTAAAACAAAAAAAGATGCAGTGTGATTTATGGTGACAGCCAAAATGATAATTTTCATCATTAAGATCTTCCTTGCATTTATAATTTCAGGTTTTAGCAGAATTGGATGGATTTTTAAACTGTAGCTGTAGCCACTTGACGTCATTTGGGGGAAATCTCTTAGTTGAACCGAATCCCATTGACTTCGACAAGGTTTTAGTCGAGTTCCAGCAGTTATCAGAAACTGGAAATATCGCAGTTATTGTGGTTATTGCGGTGATTCTATTATGTTATGTGACTGCGCTTATTATCGTAAGGAAATTCGACGAGGAAGACGCGAAAAATGTGAGTGTAGAGTCAGATTTTCCTTAGGATTGTTGTTTTAATTGTTGTCTTGTTGTTAAATCTCCCTCCGGTTGCTATACATTTTTTTGCAAATAAGTCATGACAATTTGATAATTGATCAAGATAACAAAATCTACCTGATAATTTTGAGTATTCTCATGACCTGTTACCTAGCTAATGTACGGATATTTTTGGGAGAAGTTATATGTTGATCACCCCTGGGAGTTAAAATGTTAAGAAAAAAAAAAGGCTTTAAAAAATGGAGTGACAGTCTTTTTTTTTTTTTTTTTTGGAATGGAAAAAAAAAATGAATTAAGAATATAAATCAGCTTGCCATGTAATTCATGCTTTGTCATGTTTTTTTAGAGGGAATTACCGATCCAACTTCCATCATCTTCAAGCTGCACCTATGAATATAATATAGTGATTACTTCAGGGGCTTGGAAAAACTCAGGCACGACTGCTCATGTTGCTTTGGAGATTTACGGTTCTGATGGAAAGAGTGGCATTCTTCAGCTTAGCCAAGAAGAACCTGGTGCAGTGAATACGTTATTCTCACGAGGTAATTCAGATGTTTTTGTACTTTATGTTAACAAATCACTTGGTGCGATTCAAGGAGTGCAGATTGGACATGATAATTTTGGAGATAGTCCCTCGTGGTACCTAGAAGAAATCCTGATTCGGGACGTACAATCTAAGCAGTCGTGGAAATTTATGTCCAATCAGTGGTTTGCTCTTGAGCGCGGAGATGGGCGCATCGAGCGAGTAATCGACCAGACCTCAAACCATCTGGATTTTGGCAATGAAGTTGCAAGATGTTGGCGAAGAGGCCTCGTGGAGTGGCATATTTGGATTTCAGTAGCAGCCAAGCTGAGAAAAAGCCGCTTTACAAGAGTACAACGGCTTTCTTGCTGCCTCTCAGTGCTTTTGACATCTATGTTCGCTAACGCGATGTTCTACAAGTTAGAGGGCAAATATGAACAGCCTATCCAAGTCGGACCGCTGAAAATGTCGTGGAGACAAGTGGTAACTGGAATTGAAAGCGCGCTTGTTGTGACACCAATAAACATTTTCATAGTGTTTTTGTTTCAGAAAGGGGCTGAAAATTCTGCCACGAACTATGACTATTGTCTTAAAGGTACCCTGATCTCTGGTAGCGCTTGGTGCTTGTTGTTTTTTTCTTGTACTGTTTCGGCTGCGTTTTCAATTTTCTACAGTCTAATTTGGGAAAAGAGTCTCAGTGAACAGTGGCTGTCTTCGATGCTTATTTCATTCGCACAGGATGTAACAATCAAGGAACCAGTAAAGGTGTTCTTCACAGCTTTAACATTTGCGGCCATTTTAAAGATAAAGGCGAAGAGATCAAAAGTACACGCCTGCGAAAGCTCTCAGCAAGTTAAAACTGGGTACTATAAGAAACATTTTTGCACACTGAAATTATCAGAGGTGGAAGAGATGAGAAGACGACAAGCTAAGAAACAGAACATGACACGTTATCTCACAGAGTTGGGTTTATACTTGGTCTTTGTTTTCTTCCTTATGGCAGTATGCTATGGAAACAGAAATGACCATCGGTACTTGATGACGAAATCAATCCGAGATGGAATACCAAAGTTTGACAAGGTGAGTCAACATCATTTCATCATGTTAAATCCATTGCTGAGATTCGCGTGTTCAATTTATCTTATGACTTTTCGTTCCCACGGGGGTTCAAAATCAAGAAAATGGAGGAAAATTTTACTTTTTCCCTCATCAAGAACTGGATTTTTTTTTCTTGCTTACAGACATTCAGGTATTGACTAAGGCATTTTCTGCTCCTGTAATGGACATTTTGAGTAGGAATATCCCCTTATAAACATGGTACAAGAGATGTGTTCGTGTGCGAGTCCCAACCTTAGAACTGGAAAGAAATTCCAAGCGATGATAGAAAAATCCCATGAAGAGATTGGCATTTAATTTTAACATATTAGAGAGCCAGAAAGGGGACACTATCTCATGCAAACATGATTTTATAATTTTGAGGGGATGGATGTAGTGGAAATAAGCACGTGAGAATGTGGGGGTAGAGTCTACCTTGGCATAAAGTGCTCAATGCTGTGGTAGCAGAGCTAAGTATACATAAGTTAATGAATTAAAGAGGACGCACGGATTCTCTGTGACACTGAGTTTCGCGCCTCTCGTCAGACAGAACTTGACTTGACTTGAAAAAGTTCTGTCTTACGAGCGCTTAGGCGCGAAACTCAGTGTCACAGAGAATCCATGCGTCCTCTTTAACTCATTAACTTATGTATATATATACACATATATACATATATATATATATATATATATATTTATATATATATATATATATATATATATAGATAGATAGATAGATAGATATAGCTCTTTGGAATAGAAAGCTTTGCTTTCATGTCCAAATTGAGCACTCTACCAGGATGAATCATTGCATTGCGCATGCTCACTAGTTGTTCTAGTTTGAACACTCTGGCATGGCTCAGATGATCCCACATGTGTGAGATCACTTGGGGTGGCTATATTGCCTTACCTCCATTCTAGCATCGGCGCTGCACTGATGAAGCCCAGCGAGCGAAATAGAAGGAAGAAAGCTCTGTCTGACGAGTGCTTAGGCTCGAAACTCAGAGTGACAGAGGGTCGATGCGTCCTCTTTGACCTTTTCACTATATATATATATATATATATATATATATATATATATATATATATATATATATATATATTTATTTATTTATTTATTTATTTATTTATTTATTTATTTAACCTAATGATCTTGTATTAATTCAGGTGACAAACAATACAATGTACTGGAGCTGGTTACAGCATGTTTTCATCCCAGGTGTGTTTTCCAGCAGATGGTACAACGGTCAAAGGGATGAGCAAACAATTTCTATTGGTAATAAACACTCTCTTCTCGTCGGAATGGCTCGATTAAGGCAACTCAGAGTGAAAGCGAGTAAGTTTTTTTTTCCCATTTTTATTCCTTTTTGCATATCAGTGAAAAGGCTATTTACCCACACATGTCATTTCACATATTATAGTTATACATATACAATTTAGCCTGATAGAGAAACGATCGGTGCACAAACTTAAATATAGAGTTAAACAATAGCTTATTAATAATAATAATAAAGATCTTTATTAAAAAGAAACACGTCCAGAAACAAAACGTCTGGACTTACAATTTCCTACATATATCTATCTATTATGTATATACAAGACTAAGTAACTACACAAATTCGAAAAGACATCTATTGAAAAAGCAACGTTTAAAGCGTTCGGTTCTGACTGGAGGCAGGATGTAATTACGTCCTCTTTTCCTGAGGCTCCTAGCTCTCTGAGCTGGTAAAAGTTCATGTAATGGATTTGCGCTGTCAGAGGTCGAAAGGTTGAAATTGTTAAAGAAAAAAAAAATGTTGAACATGCACCGGTGACAATTTTTTCGACTCTGACCATTATAACAATTATCTAGACGAGTGTTTAGGTAGCTGCGTTTTATTATGAACGCTAATTAAATTGAAGTTTTGATGACGGCGTTCCTTTCCTCCGAAGCAAATGCTACTTTGAAGGCTTCTAATAATTCTCCATATACCTCTGTTGTTAAAAGTACGAAATGTGTCAAGTCCCTTAGTGAAATAAATACCAAAACAAACTTCCTGATCATGATCTTTTGCTCCCACTTTCAGCGCAATGTAAAGTCCTAAACTATATGAAAACATCGTTCGAAGAATGTTTCAAGGGATACTCGACAAATAACAAAGACAAGACCGTCTACAACAAACCAGGCTGGAGGCCTATCGACAATGCTACAAGGAATGACGACTTATTCCGACTTTCCCCGAAGCCATGGCGATATCAACATGCCGAGGAAACCGACACCACACCCAGGTGGGGACAGTTCTCTTTTTATGATGGAGGAGGATTTGTAGCAGACCTCGGTTACGATAACCATACGGGGTTCAGCATAGTAACAAATTTACAAAACAACGGTTGGCTTGACAGGCAAACTAGAGTTGTCCTGGTAGAGTTTTCTACATACAATCCGTCGGTGAATATTTTAGGTGTTGCCACGTACTTCTATGAAGTTGATGCATCTGGACTGAAAGCAGCCTCCATGCAAACTCGTGTTCTTTCACTTGATTCTACGGACACACCCTCGCATCAGTTTTATTTGATTTGCTTGTTCCTGTATATTGTATTCGTTTTTCTGTATTTTGGAAGGGAAATTTTCAGACTTTACAATCATCGTTCTCGATATTTCATGTCTATCTGGAATTGGGTCGAGACACTCCAAATTGTTTTTTCTCCTATTTCCGTGGTGATTTACATGATACGACAAAGTAAAGCCATCTCAACCATGGGCAAACTGCGTAAAAACATTTACGCAAATCTAAGTTTCCAAGAAGCCATCACTTGCCAAGAAGTGGAAAATGTGGTACTTGGAATTGTTACTTTCATCGTCACCATCAAGCTATTGCGAATCATTCGCTTTAACAACTATGTTGCTTTATTCTCCACAACATTGAAGATATCTGCACGATCTTTGTTATCCTTTAGCATCGTTTTATGCATTTTCTTTGTGGCATTTTTGCACTTCGGTGTCTTAGTGTTTGGCTGTGTATCTGGGCGCTACTCTTCGGTGCTAAAAGGAGCTTATTTCCAACTCGAGCTAACTCTTGGTCGAGTGAAAGCTAGACCAATCAATGAATTAGCACAGGCCAACACCATATACGCCAAAATATTCGCCTTCTTAATTCTCTTCACTCTCACTATTCTCTGTATGAACTTCTTTATTGGCATAATCAACGATGCTCTTTTGGATGCTAAAAACTATGTGAGCGAAAGTGAGCTGTATGATCTTATCGATGAGAACCGTTGCTCGAGCTCAAAAGAAAGAAAAGAATTTTTCGATGCAATCAGTAACAGGTTGAAACAGTCGAGAACCTCCAAAACGTCAGCAGAAGTGATGGACAAAGAATCAGGAAACATTGGCCTTGACCCCACGAACAGTTCCAATCTTAACTTTGATTTAATAAGTCAAGCTATCATAGCTTGGAGGAAGAAAAGATCCAGAGAAACAATAGATAAACAGCAATGCAGTACAAGGAGACAAGCATTGTTCGACAGGATAAGCAACATGCTAAGATCTCTGAAAGGTGAAAGCAATGACGACTGCAGCAAACGTAGAGAAAAAAAGAAAGTAAGATTTCAAGAGGATGTCGTCGAGTCTTCCCTCCGTAAATTACGTAAGAGAGAACATGACCTGTTACAGCGGCTGGAGAGTATTGTTTCAGGGTTCACAGCAGAAGACGAAGAATTCGATTATTTATTAATAACAGCAGAGGTCTATCTCTACTAAGTAGAGAGAGAGTAAAAAGAAAAGGTGAAAGGAAGTAAAATACTTCATCGAAATCATTGTGAAAAAAAACATATCGTTAAGCATAAATCATCTCGCACACACAAAGAAATAGCAAGAATTCCCTAGCGTTTCGTAGCATTGTGGCAAATAACAAAAAAGAGGATAAGAACTTAGAATGTCATTTTTTTTTCATTTTTTTATAGCTGATCTCAGAGGAATAACCTATATACAATTTTTCTTTGGAGCCTATTGATTGTTTATAAATATGGCTCGTATTCAACGGCAAAAAATATGAACTGCTTCATATCATTTAAAATAGAGTTACGCGAAGGAAGTTAAGTATTGTTATGTTATATAATCCGTCAGTTATATACATTTCATTTCAAAAAGATTGAACGATTTGGACGAATATGTTCGAGCCTCAATGACTTTAAAGATTTTAAAATTGTATTTGAGACTATTGATCATTTTACTGTTTAGCAACAAGTAGCCTTTACTCATCTTATTTAATATATTTGATTGGATTCATTTATTGAAATATAATAATGAAATTGATTTAGTGTTTTCTATGAATAAGATTTACCTATTTACTCACTTAGACAGTTTCTTTATTCAGAGAAATTAGCACCACTTTGCTACTCTAAAAATTTCGAACGGAAGTAAAGTTATGTATGTATGAATGTATGTAGGATTAAAATTCTGCTGGTATCGAGCGTATTGACTCACTCCATTGGTGACGACTGATCCCCCACCTGTGCCCCCTTAAAAACCATGGGATCCCCCCTCCCGCCAGACGATTGATAATGACCGATCTCAATAAGGAGCAGTTCACGCGAGCTCCAAAAATTAATTGATTTCATTGATGTCAACAAAGGGCTCAAACGCAGTGGGCCGCGGCCATGGCCAAACCCTTCACGTCCGTGGTAAGCTAGATGGCGCTTCCTGCGTAAGTGATAGATTCTCAGTCACATTTTCCCCAATTAGCTTTTGCAAGCACGTTCTTGGTTGTCAGGTACGCGTAAAACCAACTGAAACTTGTTTATTCGGGCGGTTTGCTGTTTAAACCGCGTAGTGATGTCTAAAACTGTCCCTTATAAATGTTGCGTATAGAGGGGACGCTAAAAGCAATGCTTTGTTCGATAAGCATCGGTATATAGCCAGGCTCTAATATCAACAATCAAAGCGTAAGGATTATATTCAAATATATTTATTAAATAAGTATTCTACATTGTAATATTAGCGTAAAATAAGTTTGCAGCAAGTACATGTTCAATGTTGTTCCAGTGTTGATCATTTTGGCTGCACATTACTTCCAGTGCACAGAGTTGAATAATTCCACCGGTTCAAAACTTCGCCAAAAAAAGAGCCATAAAAGTTACATGAAACCTTAAGGGTATTTAAACTTTCGGTGGCTTTAAAAAGCAAGCTGGATGTTGTTGACCTCCTGCGATATGGAAATTAATTAAAAAGGTCTAAATTACTGAGGTAAACATTCATCAGAAGCCCCGCATGTCCTTTCTGTTGAACACGTTAGAGGGCTTTGTCGGTATAACATTTTTTGTAGCTAATACGAGCTTTCTCAATGCTGGAATAAAAATCAATTTAGGAAAGAGAAGGTAATTGAACTGGAACTTCGTAGTGCTGATCGCAATGTTTACTGTACAAACAAAATCGTGTAACGGTGTGCTATTTACCTAGAAAACGGCTTTTTATTATTTGAATTTACAGACGTTTCGGGGCGCAAAACGCGAAAACAGTAAAATTTTACGAGGAAGGGATCGCTAAGTATCATCAACGGTTTTTATGTATAGCTTTTTTCATTGTTGTTGTTTTCACGAGGCAAAAAAAGTGCAATATCAGTTTCATCTATTTGCAATCCAAGTCGCCACTCTCAATGACCAGCGGTTGTATGCATACCAAAGAGCATTTTAGTTAGAGGTTACACTAATGCCATTATGGTTTGAAGTGACCATCAATCTTCTCGACTGTAGCAACTTAATTCACCGCCGATTCTAAAGCCTGCTGAACATTTTGAAGTCTTTTCTGGACCGTTAGTCGATGCAAAGTATAAAATATTCATTTGTGAGTCTTATCAACGGTTGGTGCGTAAATGGACACAAAGGTCGGGTGACGGGTACAAGGTACGTTATCATAGTTAGGAGCCTGCCTTGCTCAGTATCTTGGCATCGGGGTTCTACATCGTGCCTGTGTGGCTAATAAAACAAAACGCACAGCAAGGAATTGTAAAAAAGAATTTTGGTGAGAAAAATTGTTAAAAAATAAGATGTGATTGGGGTACATTCAACATCTTTAGCCAGGGGGATGATTATTTTTGGGAGATCACATGATTTTCAAGGGGAAAGGAGAATCAGTGGTTGCCAACAGAGTATAAAGGGGGGCTGTATAAGTTTGACTGCCAATTAACTGCCAATGAGGGGTCACCCAACCAAAACCATCCCCTTCACCATTTTTTTTTCTTTTTTTTTTCAACGAGAGAACTTACCTTTGGGAAGCATTTCATCATCTTCGTCATTGTTCAGCATTCTCCTTTGTTTACGAAGCCTTTGTCTGCAACATGAATCATGACAGCAAAACTGCAAGTCAGGGGTAGATGCTGATCTTACATTTATGGACATTAAAACAGAGACTTCTGCTTTCGTGTCGTGCAAACTAAACTTACATGGATTCACACAGCTATAGATAGTGTTGGTAACTAGTTTTATATCTTTATGTCAAGCTTTATTGGGCAAGATCAAAACGGAAAACAAAATATGCAAACATACATATTAAAACCCAAAAAGAGTGGGCATGAACGGGACACTCAGACCAATGCGAGGTGCCTACCGTAGGAAAATATATACGGAAAAATAAAATCCAGTTGTGGTGAGAAGAAAAACTAATTGTAGAACAATTTAATTGTTCAAAATGAGAAAGTTGAGAACGATAGCAGAAGCCAAAGATGAAAATGGCAGCGAAGCTCTTTCTAATGGAATTTAATTCCTGCAAAATTTTTTATCAATGTGCTCACACATGGCGGGTAGAGAAATCCTCGTCAAGTTTCGAATACTTAACTTTTATTAAAAATGACTGATTGGAATGCTATTGAATGTTGCTCACTTTCTGAGCCAATAAGAAATAAAAAACAGAGGGCCGGTTATCAACACGAGGTGTAATCCAAACCGCTGTTTTACGCAAGCAGTGGTCTTGAGGTATCATTTAAAAGAGGGTTAGCTTTCAGCCATCTTGACGCTGTTCACAAAAACATATGTTCAGAAAAAAGCTTCAGCTATATTCAAGATAGTTTAGAACGCTGTTTTGTTAAAACAACGGCTAAACTTTGTTTTATTAACCCGCCAGAGACTTTAACTATAACTTTGATATAATCTTATCGTCTCAGCTACTAAAGTGCAAGTAAGCACACAGCGAACAAAACAGTTTCGAGACCTAAATCTCTAAATACAGTATGAGTGCTTCACCCTCAGGTGTAATATGTTATTTTTAAAGAAATGAAAGTCCCTTTCACAACCTTAAGTTATTGTCCAACAGCCGGGCTTTGATATTAGAGAACGTTATCCAGAGAATGACGTTTTTTCAGGCCTTTAGAGCACAGGGTTAATCATTCGCTTTCACGCAGATAAACAGAGCCCATATTATCCCGCCGATTCCAGGCACGGAAGCTGAGGAAGCAGCTATAATGTACACGATCATCCAGTCTGCGAAACACAACGAAATTATGGTGACGTGCGCTTAGTTTCCCTAACTGAAGACCTTGGATTATTTTAGCACCAAAGGCAAGCTAATGCAATTTATTTTGTATTAATTTTCTGTAAAATTGAGTTATAAGGTACAGATTTCAAGAAGATGGTGCAAAATGAACGAAATCTCCATGATTACGGGTGAGGCAAAATTTCTGAGGTATCAGGATGCTACATATGCATTTTGGACCGACAACTTAAGGCTGGCGGGGAAGGGCAAAAGAGAAGGCGAGCTAACCTTTTTCCTTTCGACCGGACGATCTGCCGGTTTTTTAACGTGATATTAACTCCGTTCTTGCCGCAGGAACTTACTATGCCATTGATGTTATCAAGTAATTTTTTAATCTGCTGAAGTTTACCAGCCCTCGGCTGCTATTTCCGTCAGGAAATAGTTATTATCGCTGGCTTAGCTTGCCTGTTATTTGATCAGATATATTTACGAGGTTTTACTCGGTTAGTTCATTTCAGGTGTAGATTCTACTGCGCCAACTTCTACTCGGGATTGGGCCATAGTTTCTCTCCACACTGCTACTCGTCTATTCTATCAAGTCAAATTCAGTACGTGGGCAAACCAAATAAGTAATCGATTCTTTGTTTTCCAGGCTAAGTTCTCAGGCATTTTTTATTGTTATTCTTTTCAATTAAGTCTTACTTTATCACTTATCAAATGGCCTATATCGTTACTAAATCGGTTAGTTAGTTTTTTTTTTGTTTGTTTGTTTATTTTGTTTTGTTTGTTTGCTTTTTGTATTTTGTATGCTCTGAATCGCGCTTGATTAGGTCCATATCTCCAATATAAGGTTATTTCTCATAAAACTATCATCCGAGTTAATCGCCATGAAGCTTATTAATCGATCAATAGAAGTGCCGATTTGCCACTTCCATGTTAAGGTCGTTATTGCAATGTTAGTGATAGTTCCTTCATTTGTATTATTTTATCTTCGATACGTTAGTTACGTTAGCTTTTATTGTCGTCTTGTATTTCAGTTCGAGCCGGCATACGGCTGACATCATACGATTCATTACTAAGTTTACATCACACGATTCATTTTAACTGATTTTGCGTGGAACATTGGTCAATTAAAAGCTGTTTATATCGTTGTCAAAAATTCTTGTCGAGTTCGTTTAACACTACTCACTATTCTACGCATGTGATTACTTGAATTTTGTGTGCCACATTCTGTCCTCTTAATTTACAGGATCCTCTATTCATATAAGCTAACTTGACTTTTGCCCCTCCTGATGAGAGCTCAGCACTTGTCTGGCAAATCAATTTCCATTAAGTGAACAAGCGATATCACACGAGGGACGAGCGCAGCATCGACCAATGCATTTGCGCTACCTAAAAGCTGTGAAGTTCTTGGCCTTATTTCCCACCCAAGGTTTGATATCATTAGATATTCTGCTGTCCAACCTGCAGGTGGCAGATGTAGCGACCAGCTCTGTAGTTGAAGAATCTTCTGGTGAAGAAGCAACTGCGGATAAATCTGTGCAAGTAATTACGTTAGTTTCTAAGTGCCTTTCCTCGTTTCACATAACAGCCTAATTAAAAGTGACAACAGCAACATTGAGAACAAAAACAAAAGAAAGAGGCCGATTACAATCAGCCATCTTGGCCAAACAAGCTTCAATTGCTTGATAAAAGATTCATTACGTGGGCAATATAATTTTTAGGCAATTTTACCTATACGGGAATAATAATCATTTGTGTACGAGATATATGCATCTTACCCACTCGGTTAGCCAGCCATATTTTTACTGAAATTTTGCTTTTATTTTAGCTTTTTGGAAAGGTTACTAGGTAGGTGTCATGGCACATTTAATAACCTCTTTTTTTTGTTTTATTTTAGATAAAAAATCATTCCCAAGGGCAGTCACACTGACTCCCATTAAAAAAGTACAATTCTCTTGGAGAGGAAAACCGCAGGAAACTATCAATGAAACAACAGAAATATTTCCTGGATAATAAATCAATGCGTTTTATATTTTCTCAAGTGTTCTCGGTAGATGAATCTAAGGTTATATTTTCATTTTTTACCTGATTCTTTTCTAAATTAAGTAGGAGACAGCAAGACTTGAAAAACGGCTGGAGAGTATTTTCTCAGGGTTCTCAGAAGATGACGAAGAATTTAACTTTTTCCTTGTTAAATAGTTATTAAGCCGAGAGAAAACAAAAAAAATATGTAAAGGGAAGTAAAACACTATATCAAAGATTAAGGTAAAAATCAGATAATTTAGTGTTATCAGACGAGTTGATACCGCAAAGTGGCCACCGTAAAGAATTTCAAAGCTGAATTTTCGAGCGTTAGTCCATCTTCATCCCTACTTAATTACTTTCTCTCTTTCTTTTTTTTCGGATAAACTAACACCACCATGCTACCCAGAAATTCTAACGGAAATAAATTCATGTATACAGTAGGTAGGTATTTTGGTGGTCTCGAGCGTAGACTCACTCTACCCATTCCCCTTCCGCCTTATGCCTGTCACGTCCAAGTTTCCTTGAGATAGACACTACAAGAGACATTGTTTTTTTCACAGTCTGCGGAACAGCATTTAACAGGCTTTTTCCACAGGCTGGCAATTAAACTGCATCAAAGTACCATGCATCTCCAAAAACTGTGGTACATGATATACAAATGCTGAAAAATGAGAGTAATATTTAATTTTATTTATTTTTATACCACAAAGTTTCACTTAAAAGCTTCCTACTTATATAATTACAATAACTTCCAGGCCTATTTATCTGCTAATAATAAATAGTAGATGCATTGTGAAATTATTATTTAATATCATCATCATTACTTCCATCCAGGAAGACATTCCTTAAGAGTTAAATTTTTGTTGACTTACTGTGAATGTAGGGGGTGATGTCATCATCATAGTACATTTCAAGAAAGAGCTTTCCCCACTCCCGCACATATGTTTTAAAGTGCTGAGGCTCAAGGTAGTCTGGATCATTTTCTTGAACCTGTAGCGCCCGCATCAAAGTCTGAAAACCCTACAGCAAGAAGCAAATACAGATAACAATTAGACATCATTATTAATTGTCTTTATCAAAAAGGGGTTGCCACTTGACAGAAAATAAAAAAGTTTTCTCCAAAGTTTTACTTGATAGTTGAGGAATTTTTCAATAAAACTGATGCCTGATATTTGCAGGTTAATTCCAACTTACTTTCCACAGATTGTCTATGCCCTCTGCATCTTCGGTGCCAACAGCTTCCATAACGTTCTTAATATCGAGTTTCTCCAAAACCTTTTGCAATTCTTTCCCTGATTTTCAAAGAAAATTTAAATATTAATAAAATAAGATAATAGCCAAGATAAACTTTTCTCTTCTTGAGTGCATCATAGGTTATAAATGCATACTGAATTTGATTGTGCAGCCATGCCAGCTATGTTATTAACAACTGTAGATATATTGTTAACTTATTAAAGTGCCATTTAGACTTGTCCACTTTGTTTCTGTTTTTTCTGCCAGTCTGTTGTACTCCTCATAAAACTTGAATTCCACCTGAATTCTCTCCATTTCTTTTGACAGAATGTCTGGGCAATCGTTGTTGACAACAACCTCAACAACCTATATTGAGACAATAAATAACACAAAATTAATAAGTGTCTGTTTTCTCCTGGAAAAATTTCCAAAGGGTTTGCATGAGAAAATGGCATTTCTTTATATGATGCATGTGGGCTCACCTGATGGAATAGTAGCCCCATTATTCTTAAAAATAAATGTAATGTATCCACCACAACAAACTCAAAAGGGATGTTAAGAAGTGGAGGCATTGTGCAGCCTTTCCTTGCAGCTGTGGTGGAGCGCTGGCACAACCAAGTGCACTCTGATAGCTTTCTCTCAATTGGCCAGTCATCAACTGGAAAAATATCACAATATATATTTCTATTATAAACTTGCTTGTTGTTGGCTCTGTGATGATGAAGATGAATTTAAAATACAAAATTTCAAGAAGAAATTCTCCCTTCTTACTATCAAGGTTGTTAATTTGGTCCTTGCAGCAATAACACCAAATACAAAAGTATTTAGAGCTAGCTCCATTTAGTCCATAAACAAGGGCCAAAAACTTCCAGTCAGAGCAACAATACCTGTTAATAAACAAATTATTAAACATGAATTAACCAGTAAACACCTTTAAGGTCATTAGTTGTTAGCATCTGAGGATTTTGTTTACCACTCAACATCAAAGTGCTCCCCATCAATTGATACTCCTTCTGCTTTTAACTCATCAATTTCTTGAAAGGTATGTCCAAGGCAAGCTTTCAATTCTTCATAATCTTCTTTACCTATGGAATGATATTAGACATGATCCACTGACTATAACATATTTTGAGCACCAATACAAAATTAATAAGATTGGCAACTGTTTAATTTTTAATTAATAAAATGTCTCTTATCTTGGCATCTAAAAGTTTATCATTAGTATCGTTGCTCTTATTTGACAGGAATTTAGATGTTAAGATATTAGAATCTCTGCACTTACCATTGTACAATGCCAGAGTATACTGGTATTAGTATGTTGCTTTATTTTCACACAGAATGTTGAAAACAGCCATTACTGTGCCAATCCTTTTGCTTGTCCTCCTCCCATCAGCTGCAAATCTAAGTTTAATTTTTGATCCATCTTTTTTTATGGCATCCTTAACTTCTGGTATTGCGATTAAATACTGTAAAACATCACGAACACTCCTCCGGGCACCATCAGCTTGTTTGGCCTGCATTTATTTGAAACCCAAAAAAATTAAGTGTTCTGTAAATTATTATGCTTGCCACAGTCACATTACAAATTGAACACTACAAATCAAAATAAACTTAAATAGTACTGGTGCACAGTGTCACTTATGATACCCGGAAATCATCCTAGGTGGAATATGTGGCATGATTTTGCCAACAAGCATGGTGGGAAACTGTCAAAAACACTGCTAAATGTTCTCTAAAACTTAATTTACCTCCGGGATTTGAATTACTTTGATTTCCTTATTTTGGGAACTCCTTTCCTGTTTGATAGCGGACAGTGGCGGGACGTGACTTCGAACTTTCTCAAGGAGCGCCATCCTCAGTTCGTGGTATGCTTTGTCACTTACAAGTCCTTCATCCTTCGCTGCCAACATCCTTTGTACGACCTCGTGAGCGTAGTCCTCATCGTCATCGCCGTCATATTGGTAGTCAGATAGTGGGATCACTAATTCACGGCCGCTTACATTAAATTTAACCTGTGTGAAAAAAAGAAACAAAGAGCATCTAAATAATTACTCTAGAAAATAAGAGACGTCTGCACGAGTAAAATCAGGTAAACTACGTTAATCAACAAAAGAATTGCAAAATAAATGATTCTCTGAGGTCGGCCAAAAGAAAAGAGATGCGGTGGTGAGGTTTAAGTGTTCGTAACATGTGCACAACAGCACAACTGCGACTACGTGTAATGTTTTCCCGTTTTCAGCCATTTTTCTCTACTGTTTCATCTGAAAGCCCGCTGAAAGTTATCTATATACCGTGGGCACACTTCATACGTCACCCTTTCAGCTTGTACAGCGATGGCATCATATCAGCTTCTTCATGAAAACTATTAGCGGCAATACTGAGTAATTATCAAGGAAATTTTGCAATGATACTTAACTCGATTGGTTTAAATTCTGCTGGTAAAATCTTTGCAGCATTTCGGAGGTAGTCTCCGATTTTTTTCCTCTTCAAAGACCGCGCAGCCCTGTCCACGTCCCAATAGCTTTTGCGGCTGATGTTAAATTTGACGGTGTTCTTTTTTTTGGAAACTTCGTGTCTTAGAAGCTGAAGTTCCTGGCGAAGCTGGAAAACTTCAGCTCTTCTCTCTGCCAATTCCGTCGCCTGGCCATTAATGATCTTAACATGTTCCACTTTTTCAGCTCGTAGCTGCTCATTCTCAGCGCGCAGATGGCGAATACGCTGGTCGCACGCCTCAAGGAGTGGCAAAGAGATGGCAGACTGCTTTACCTCAAAATGGCTCGGTTCGCGTCTGTAGAGGGCGCTTGGCGCCTTCTCTATCTTAAACTTGGAAAACATTTTCGACGATCTCTTTTGATGACACGAGCGAAATGACTGTTGTCAAGTGACAATAGCGAAATGATCGTTGTCGAGTGCACGCGTCTCTATAACCATTTACTCCATTAGCATGACAACAAGAAAACAATGGTGTCAACTGAGCGCGAATTTCAAAGACGCTTAGCTCGGCTCAAAACATGTTATAGGCCGGTAACTTAACCTTTGACGATTAAGAGACAAAGACGAGAAAACAATACACAACTGACCACGAAAGCGTTGCAAGTTATGAATACTCTAGTGGAACTAACGCACTGAAAGTGTTTCGTAACTAAATTCCCCAAGAACCCTGTTACAATTTCTTAGATTGACTAATTCAGTATAATCTGGAATATGTTTGCCAAAAGTTAAAATCGATTAGTTTGAATTGGGGGAGTAACTTTTGTAACAGCGCAACAATTGTGTTTTTAAATAACACCAAAGACACTTTTGTTTTCTCATACTTGTGAGAAATTCAATATTTTTACCATGAGAATTTAACCCTCCCAACAGTTTACCGATATTTCGAACATAATTGATGGTAGCGGCAGTTCTTCGCTGCAGGTAGGCTACTTTCCCCGCAGCGGGTTTATCAGCTGGCCTATTGCAAAGCATTAAACGGACCAGAAAAAAGGCTTATTACTTCGCTTCACTTTTGAGTTTATTTTCCGATGACTAGGTTTTGCTTTTAGTTGTTTTGCGCTTTTCCATTTGTATTTAAAAATACAAACCCTAGCTCTTTAAGCGTGCTTCTGAACGTTTACATTCGCCGGTTTGCGCGAAGAAAAGAAATAACTTCTACGGCCCGCGCTTCATGTGACAAAGTTTCCCTTCCGTACTCCCGGTAAAATTGTCTTTGTTCTGAGCGACATTTCCCTTACCCCACCCCGATAATTGTGCTATTATCAACATCTGGTAGTCAACGAATATTTTGAATCTCGCGCTCGGAAATTGGCAAATCGTCGGTTCTTTCAAACCTGTGTTCTAGAAACAATAGAGCCTCTAAGCTGTAAACAATTAAATGCCCATAAAAGGAAGGTAATCCAGTGCCATTGTCTACCAAAAATTAAACACAAAGTTTGATATGATACCATGTTAACATCGTCTTAGACTAATTTCAATAGATGCCAAAAGGATTAAAAAAATTCAGATCTACTGACATTGAATGAAATAAACGCGCTTGTATGGCGAGTTAGCAGTAATCCCTGATTAACGATGTTGCTCTTATTTGCCATACGATATAAATGTTACAACGAGCAGCTTCATTTCTTTAATGGATAGATGGTAATTTCTTCCATCCGTGCAGTTGAACACCTGAGATACTCGATAAAGCTTCCGGCGAAAGCGAAAAATTGCTCTGCACCTGGTAGAAAAAGCCTTTAGCTTCATTGGTCCTTTTACAAAGAAAAAAAAAACTAGTGGTGACTTATGTCAGTGAGAAGCGATCGAGTATTATCATGTGTCATATCACCTCCTTCAAAAGAGTTTTAATACGTTACACGATCTGTCGCGTTGGCGTTCTTATTAAGTCAAGAACTATATAACATACGCATACTGGCATCTGCTGAGGGCAACTTCTGTATATCATAAGCTTGAAGAATTGGGCGATAAAAGGGCTTTAATGTGGTAAAATGTTCATAGCCCTGTTTTTACACTCTACGCTGAGTAAGTACAACTGATGTTCTACTACATGTTGTGGTTATTCTATAGAAATGTTAAGTAAATACTGACTGGTTAGACATAAATATTTCGGTATTGGAACATCCTGTGACCCCAAGCGAAATCCAACCGGAAATAAGATGATATTATTGGTGGCTTCTATTGGTCTCTCTCACTCAAACTGAACCGGGTAACGTGTCCGTTCTTAAGTTTTATAATACTTGAAAATAATGAAGGTAATGAAAATATAAAAATAGATTAAAAAAAGGAGAGATATATTTTCACTTGTTTACAAATGTGGTTTTAAGTTTTGTTGAGTCGCAAAATGATTTGGAAACAGTTAACCACAGTAAAACAATTTTTGCGGTTTTAAAATTGAAATGGTAATTATAATTCATGATTATGTGATAACGTTTAGCGCAAAACCATTCAAAAATATTATGAAGGGTTTCAGGAACATAATAGCATAGTTGCTTACCTTCTGAAGTTGCTGTGACAAGATGTCAACCGAGAAATGCACAGAGACCACACAAGATCTCTTTCGCGAAAAAAAACCAATTAAGTTCGTCGACTAAAACTTATTCAGCCGTTTCGCTTGAACAATCTTGCACAAAAAGAAATGGGTGTTGCATTCGTGCTCAGTTTATAAACACGCTACATTGAAAACAATAATTATGGTAAACAGAAGTTTGGACAAAGATTTTTTGAAATGATGCCGTCAGCGACAGTTCAGCTTTTGACAGGTCTATCTTTTATTTCCCTTTTAATTACCTCCCTGCTTCCTCGACTTTTTTATCGGCTTCAGTTGTAGAATGTTATTCTCTAAAAGGACGCTAAAACCCTGCAGACAGTTAACTGATGAATTCCACCCCTGTTAGGAAAAGAGAAAATAAAACATAGCAGAGTATTCATGCTTTTCATCGATCCCATGACAAATATGGCACTAGTCAGCGATGTTAATAGTTTTATTTTTCAAAGAACTTGCTGCGCATAGTTTCAAAATTATAAATCTACATCATGAAGAACAGATTGATTCAGTTTCACAGTTCCTCGTCGTTTAATTCACTGTCGCAAAATATACCTTTTTATCAATCCACTACTACGCCACTTAAGCCATATTTGGGCAAGGGAATATGCGAATTCCCCACAGTATTGCATTGTGCAACAGCGCAAAAATACGGACGGAAAGCGGAAAAACAAAAAGGTTTCACACAACCAACCGAAATTGTTGCTGTTGTCGTTTTTTTTTGTTTTTTTTTTTGTTCGTTTTTCAAGCAACAAGTCTCTAAGCACAACAGACTTTTTTCTGATGGGCATAAAGAATACTTTATTTGTTTCTCAACGGCACTCTCTTGACTGGAATAATACCGCGCTACTTGCAAAACTTCCTCATCGAATAAGGTGTATTTATTTACAGTTATCTATTCTGAGAAGGGACAATTTTGAACTTTTGCAATTTAAATTAAATGTCTAATCCATACGTTTGACCTCTAGATAATGAGAATGATGGAATTTCCTCAAATTTCTGTGGCAGTTGGGGAAATTCAGGGAAAAACAAGGCTTTGAGACACTAGTATTTTCTTTGTTCCAAGCATGTGAAGTCGTTGCTCAAAAAAAATCAAATCAGCGCCCATCCCGGTTACTTCGAGGCACAGTTACAAACCGAGTCTTTCTCATTTTTCAAGCCGGATAATTTTTAAGCATTTTCCACCGCAATTTCATATCATTTTTATATTAGTTTTGACCTTCAATTAGACAAAATTAAAGGAAAGAGATAGATAACAGATTGAAGCTGTTTTGCGTATAACTACCTTCGCTTGATTATGCGACTCTTGCCGGGTACCCTGGCTCGAGCAGTCCGTTTTAAATAATCTGGAAAAATGCTATTTTAGAACATTGACAAGATAGAGTCACCAGTATCGTTTCTGTTTACTATACCTCTTGGGAGTGCGGCCGCGGATGCCTTAGATATTTTATGAGACTCTACGAAGTTGTAAATGCCTCACTCGTTGCCGATTTTTAATTACTAAGTTCCTTCCGCCAATTGATGTAAAAGTGCATCGCAGTGGATCCAACGAAACCTGCGGAACCATTATGTTGAAAAAAGAAGACAATTATAGAGAAATAAATACAATACCATGTTAAAATCGTCTTAAGCTAATTTTAATAGATGCCGAAAGAAACAAAGTTCTCAGATCTATTGACATTAACACAAATAAACGCGCTTGTATGGTGAGTTAGCAGTAATCCTTGGTTATTTTGGACGCTAAGATACCGTCACCAGCCATTTCTCGAAACAGTTGATGCTCAGCAGCAGTGAAAAGGTCTTATTCCTAAAGTACGTGTTTGTCAAAAATTTTAATTGATGATGAGTGAAATTGCAATAAGGAAATTTCAATACTTCGGTTAGAATAATCATCAAAACGTTGATTGCTAAAAGGTCGAAATTCACTTTCTTTGTAACGATGGTGCGTTGTTTTAAAGTCAGAATTAATGACGGCTTGGGAAAGGGGGAGGATAAGGTAAATTTTATCCTGATCCTTCCCCCCCCCCACCCCTCCTTTACCCCTCCAGACCGGCCTCTAACATTGAGCGTTGGCATGGTCTCTTTGAAAGGAAATTTTTCATACATTTGCTTCCTCTGCGCACCTTCCTTTGAGCGCTCGAGCTTCCCTATATATTATTTCCCATTTTATTCTTCCAATTACTATATAAACAAATATCGATGTTACTGTACCTCACGCAGGCTCAAAGAAATGCTGGATTCCCCTGTGTGTCGTTATAATACATGTAGTATTGTGGTAAATATTAATTCGACTGATTCCGGTTCCCATGATATTAATTTACCAGAGGACTCCTACTTCTCCTGGTTTATTCCCCACACATGTATTACAAGGTCAGTCCCGCTGGTGAAGTTATTAACATACGATGTAAACGTTAACAATTACAACGATCAGCTTCATTTCTTCGATGGATAGATGGTAATTTCTTCCATCCGTGCAGTTGAACAGATGGGATACTGAATAAAACTCCTGTGGGCAAAATATTGATCTACAAAAGCAAACCAACTTAAAACATGATCCCTGAACCAGTTTTATTAAAAACGTATTTCATCAGTTTAGTATTTTCTGGGTTATGAGAAAATGTAAACTAATACAGCTATTTTGATATAGTAAATTTCTTGTTTTGATGCAGCGCACCATTACTCCGCACCAGGTAGGAAAAGCCCTTAGCCTTGTTGGTCCTTTTATGAAGGAAAAAAATTGTGATGGCTTATGTTGTTGAGAGGCGATCGAGTATTATCATGTGTTGTATTGCCTCCTTCA